CCATTGAACTAAGTGGTTTTATTCGGCTTAGTCACCCAACGTTTGCTACAGACAGCTGTCATTCCCGTAGCTACTGTTGGCGCACTTCTTACATCGGGTTAACCGTTTGAAGGGATCGCCGTTGAATCGATTCGACGGGTTAATTCTGTACCGTCTGCTGACGCCGCAGCACGCCTACATGTATACAGCGTCAAGATGGATATCCACATCTGTTGGTTGATTTTGATCGTGAATGTTTTCAGCATCACGCACTGCAGGCAAGTCATGGTTTTATTGTCGCCATACAATGCAATCGCACGCAGCGTAAGTTACACGTTGATATAATTTCCGCGTTAATTTAATAATTCTCTGATAAATCATTGATTTAGCCGCGTGTGTGTGTATCGATAGCTTTCATATAAGTATATATGTATATACATATATTTGTTGCGCAGTGTATGGGGTAGGTTAACAGAATATGCAATAGACACATGATACTACATCACGTATATTGTAGTGAGTGAAATTTTTCATATTTACCATACACTTCTACATTGTAAAGTAATCAGTGGGAATCGTTGCTTTTATGGTGTCGTTTGCACAGTATATTGTTTCAATTGACACCAGGCATAACAACGGGATACTATCACAGCAATGCGTTTTAACATCGAACGTGTCAGCATATTTGTCGACGTAAAGAGAGTCAATCTATGACTGCTGTTACCGTGCAATTTGCCACTCTTATCTTTATTTTAAGGATCCTAATTTGGAGCTGTGTGATTTAATACGCACACTGCGTTAGATGATGTCACAAATAAACCGAGACACACTCACCCCGCGTCGATATGCGGACAACGTCGGACAGCATGCAGGGCAAACCACGACGATACCAGAATAGCTCCCGTGTATATGCTTTTTGTGTCGGCTTCATAACGTTCATGTGCGTCACAACATAACATGACACAAATAGAACAGGGCAACCCATGACTTATTGACAGCGTGAATATTCGTGAATATATTCATCGACCCATATTTCACGCAACAATCACGCGGCAAGTCGCGGCAAAACAGTCCATGCGGGGGTACAGCTTGGGTAGATCGAACGTAATACCCAACTATTGAGTTCTTCAAATATATGACACTACTCGATATTATATACAAGCTCTTGAACGCGTATAATCCCGTTTGCAACGCCTAACAAATCATATTTTTGTTGTTGACTCTCTTCAGAGAATGGTTTATGATGAAATGTCATAAAAGTGTGGACATCCCTTAGGAGATTCCCTGACATTGAGCTTAACAAGGTCACTGTGCTCTACCGAACCAATGTAAAACAGCTCACACAGTATAGTAAATTTCGCCCATAAATATTTTGCATCATTTTATCGCGCCGTTTATATATACTATGGTTCTGTAGATTACATTGCGCTCGTTCGATTCTAATTACATAATGTTTCCCTTACATGCTATGTGTTACACTATGCTAAACATATATATACTCAAATCCCGTACATGTAATATACACTCTGGCAACCAGATGTGCACAGATAAATTGAACTTCAGTACAACTATTCAACGATTTAAAAAATAAATATTGGAGAGTGCTAACAGCATGCCTCAACTACATTGACAAACCAAACAAAAAACAGTCGGATATCGCATTTCAACAGCAGCGTATTTGTGAATTTGACCTGTTTTACTGTACAGATACGACGCACAATTTGTTGGTGTTTTTACGAAAATTGGTTTATAATCATAGAAATTTAAATGTAATGAACATGATTTCAAAATGACAATAGATGCGACTATTATTTTTCTTTCTGTTAACTATAATACAATGAAACATGAAATGTCTATAGAAGGCGTTCCTCGTTTAACATATGCCCATAAACGTATTGAACAATAATACGATGATTAACTATGTGCAATCAGGGCGGGATAAAAAAAAGAACGTAGAAAAATTATTTAATTTGTAGTATTTAATGTAAACGATTGCCAAAATACAAAATATTTTAAGGTTGTAAAAACTTCAACGATCGCTTAATTGTCAGTACTAACACAGATCCGTATCCGGTGCGTGTCGTATTCAACGGCTTGAATGTTTCTTTAAGAGTTAAGTGAACTGTGAATGCACTGTAAAACAAAGAACCCTGTGATATACACGATTTACTAGTCCCCTTACAACTTGGATATGGCTGACCAGAGTAAGCAGAAAACATGTTTTATCTGTTGTGTTTTATGAGCGACTTGTAACTTTCTTCTCGTAATAAATGCCGAGTCTTTGAAACTGGTGAATGTGGTTTGAATGCCTCGCCATAAATCCATTCGCCTGACCTGTGAAGTTATTGACTTTGAATTACTCTTCTATATGACAGTGTTCACAGTTATTTAAACAACTGTTTACGAGTGAAAAGCTGTGGAAGCCACATTTTTAGAGTAACACTTGTCCCCCAGACGTGAATAATTCACACCTGTACCTGTGTTAATCACAGCTAAGCAGCCAAACAGACATAATATCCCCCTGTGACTTGTCGTCTCATGCTGATTAACGTCGGCCAAACAGTAGTTACAATTGCATTCACATGTAGCAAATTTCACTCGTAGAAGAAGCAAAATACATAAAATGCGTTAAAATAATGCTACGTATTAATTAAGTAATATGTATTGAAAGTGGATATCCTGACCGCACTGCTACATTCATTTTATTTTGAGAAAGCTGAAGGGTCTCAGCATTTAGACCAACGCACATACAATGTAACTGACAAACAAAGCCCCCTAACTCCGTGAGTGTATAATTGTTGAAAGATGATAGGTTATGTAATTCGTGTCTCCCAGTGCCATGCCGCAGTAGCTTGTTGTATATGAACAGTTACTCACTTGCTGGTATGTGCTGTTTGGTGATTGTTATACGCTCTGTTCTATCTGTATTTGTCAACACATTCATATATGAGAGGAAAGAAGTCACATTCCACCAGTCGTATTTATCATTTTCCGTCGAACACACTGTGTCCCTACCATGTGGAGATCAGATTCGTAAAGCTCTCGTCACTCGCAATTTGTAATATCAGCTAAAATAGTAATATAACGTTATATTAGCTATTAAATAGTCACATGAAAGCAAGAAATAAATTATTAAATACGTTTGAAATTGCTATTTCTGTACGAGGAGTGAACTATTCATGTATGCTTCCTATTCGTTTGAGAGATATAACTTATGAATAAGCAATGTATTTGTGAATCTCATAGCTAAATTATTAGAACGCCGGCTAAAACGCAAGCGCCTGTTAAGTTTTAAACTTAATTATTGATAATAATTGTTCACATCAGATTGTAACTAAAACGGAGTATATTTAGAAAAGTATTGCCACTTGTCTTTGGCTCGCCATTTATGTATACATGGCCGCACAGATAAATCGCTAACTTAATTCTGTGATGTCACATGTAATGGACATCTAACACGACGAGACCCGACACAAGTGCAGTGTATATGTGTATGTTTTTCTGTCTACACCTATACACTGATTATAGTCTATCATTGTGTAATATACGGGTCTGTGCAACGTACTTTTTATTACGTAAAATCAGGAAATATAAGGGCATCTTTCAGTGTCTGCAATGCTTTATTTTGTTTAGAAATGACAAGTTCCGAGTCGTTTTATCTGAACATACCACGCGTGAACAAACTTGTTTTTATTGCCTACATCTCCTAATTTGGCCGCTTCTTCGTCTGTGTTCATGCATGTACTGCATAATTGCATTTCTGTATATTGTAACCAGTGCCAATGCGGACATCTTAGATATTCTCGTTATCTTGTGCAACAGTCAATAGATATATACTACACCTAGTCATATGGGGGGGGGGGTAACGAGTACCATGTTTTATTTCAGTTTTTATTAAGCTTGTTTTAAACAGCGATGCGACTCCTTGAGGCGATTCATGTAGAAGCGTCTGTCTTGCAGAGGACTATAAGATTATTGCATTGCAAATATTGCACGCATATCAAACATAATAATAATACCAGTAAATTTAATATTCAACGTGTGGAGGTGCCATCTATTTTTAAATAAATGCTATGGTTCATGGACGAGTCTTGCTTGGTGTAGGCGTCAATCGCATTCCCTGGTATCTGTAGTACTAGTCAAAAATAAACTAACTAAATAACAAAAAAATACTACCCGGATAAAATACAGAAAAAGAATTAAAT